AGGATGTACGTAAACACACGAGAGAACATTCTTGAGATGGTTCAGAGAAGTCCGCGTCTGTCCACTCGTAGAATGGCCTCTCGCATCGGCGTATCACGTATGCAGGTGTTGCGAACTTTACATGATGAAGAGTTGTATCCTAACCATGATCAAAGGGTACAACATATGGAACCAGGCGACCATGCACAGCGTATGGATTTGTGCCACTGGATAAAAGCTCATCCCGAACTGTTAAGCGTCATTTTATTCAGTGATGAGGCGTCTTTTACCCGGGACGGTGTAAATAATTTACGAAATGTGCATACGTGGTCCCATAATAATTCACATGAGATAAGGGAAACAAAATTACAAAAGAGATTTTCCGTGAATGTACGTTTAATACAGTTATGTAGTCACTATGCGCAGTCAGCCATGTTACGTCAGTGCTTGCCAGTCATGTGTCATGTATAGTGTTTGGAAACCCTAAGGACAATTATGACATGGCGAGTGAGTATTTTGTACTTCAATTTTATGGCTTCATATCACTCACAAGTTAGTTTGATGTTACGATGTCCATTATCTCCGTAACCGTTCAACTTTGGACATAGGTGTTTTGGGTTTTGTCGGCATACTTTAACATAAGGAACACCCTCCCGAAGTTTGGCACATTCCTCCTGGGACACCCTGTAAATATATATATTGTAACGTGTTATATGTCGTCCATCGCTGAGCACCGAAAACAATGGAAATTGAGTTCCCAATCTTCTGTGTAGGGATCGTTGTTTATTCTTTGAATCAGGAGTTTTTCGAGGAGCTTGGCAATAACTGGGAGTAAGCTTATAGGTCGGTATGAATGAACTTTGGTTGGGTCTTTGCCTGGTTTGTGAATTAGGATTATTTCAGCAGTTTTTAGTTGTTTCGGCCCGTAGTTTATTCTAAAGATAGCATTGATGATAAAAGTAATTAACAGTACGGTTTTTGTGGCAGTTCTTTTATCATTTTGGGGGTAATTTGGTCTATGCCTGGAGCTTTACGTAGTTTTAGGTAGTTTATTTCTTTTTGTACTTCCCTTGTGGTGATTGTTTTTAATTCCCGGTATGTTCGCAGGGATATTTGACAATTGTTCTTCTATTTCAGGATCTATTTTAGTGTCGTTTGGTGTAAATACTTTGCAAGATGTTGAGCGAACAGCATTGTCTTTTCCTCGTCGCTTCTGGCTCATTTTTGGTTGGGTACAGTTTCATTTCTTATTGGGGGTACCTGATGTTTAGGTTTTCTTTGATGTTTGATTGGTTTCCAGATTGTGTTGTCAAATCTATTAAGACTGGTGATATAATCGTGAAATGATCTGCCCTTTTCTTCTTTGATTTCAATTTTTAACCGATTAGTTGCTCTATTTAGGGCTGTTTTGTCTTGTGGTGCGTGTTTTCGATGCCATTTGACTCATGCTTTTCTTTTGACTGCTATTAGTTTTTTTTTTTATCTCGATTGAGATATTACTTGAGGCTTGATTATGGGTTTGCAGCTTAGGGGTTGCCTGTTCAGCAGCCTTTGTGAGAGTAGTTGTTAAGTTTGTTAGTACATCATCCACTTCAGTTGGGTTTTAGAGACTTACTTTTAGGTTTGTGTTTTCTTCAATTTCGGTGCGATAATGTTCCCAATTAGTTCTTTTGTTATGATGCCTAATCGGAGGTTTCTTGTGAATGATGAGGTTGCTGATTGTGCTAGTATAGGCGAGTGATCAGAAGAGATCATAGCTAGCTTTTGTGTGCATGTATGATGGGGAGATACCTCCAGTGATGAAAAAATCTATGAGATTCGGAGTTTTGGAACGATCGGTGGGCCAGTAAGTTGGAGCGCCAGTTGACAGGATAGAGTAATTTCTCTCCTGAATCAGGTTTGCCAGTTCTCTACCTTTGGTTGTTGTGAGGCGGGAGCCCCCATAGGGTGTGCTTGCGGTTGAAGTCTCCTCCTGCTATGAATATTGGTCCAAGCGTCTGGAAGAACTCGCTGAATTGTTCTTTCTTTATATTGTACCGAGGAGGGCAGTATACTGAAGCAATTTTAGGTCGTACGGCATCATTTTAACCAGTATTACTGTGGCTTGGATATGATTTTTCTCATACTTCGGTAGTTCAAGATGTCGAATAGTATTTCTGGTTAGTATAGCGGTCCCAGCGTGGGCCGTATTGTCAGGGTGATTTGTGTAGTATGTCGTGTATTGGGGTATTTTGAAATAAGATCTGTCCGTAAAGGAAGAACGAGTGACCCACCTTCAGGAATGTCAACCTCCCAAAACCGCCAGTCAGCTCCGCCGTTTCTTGGGCATGCTGAACTACTACAGGCGATTTCTGCCCCACGCGGCAGCACACCAGGCACTACTACACGACGTCCTCTCCGGACTAAAAGTCCAGGGCTCCCACCTCATCACTCGGACACCGGAGCTCCACAGGGCCTTCGAAGAGTGCAAGGCGAGTTTGTCACGCGCCACACTACTGGCTCACCCCGATCCATCCGCGCTACTTGCACACGTCATAAATGCCTCCAAATTCGCCATGGGTGCCGTGCTGCAGCAACGCGTCAAGAACTCCTGGCAGCCCCTGGCATTCTTCTCAAGGAAACTCAACCCGGAGCAGCAAAAATACAGTGCGTATGACCGCGAGCTGCTGGCCATCTATGAGGCAGTAAAGCACTTTCGCCACATGCTGGAAGCGCGCCACTTCATCTCCACAGACCACCTACGCTTTCCAGCAGAAAAGGGACAAATGCTCACCTAGGCAATTCAACCACCTGGATTTCATAGCACAATTCACGACCGACATCCGACACATCTCGGGACAGGGCAACGTTGTTGCCGACGCGCTCTCCCGCGTCGAGTCCGTCACTGCGCCACCATCGCACGACGCATTGGCCGCATCGCAGGACAGCGACGACGAGCTCCAGTCACTTTGGCAGTCAAACACCGCTTGGGGCTCGAAAAGCTACCAATTCCCGGTACCACGGTGTCCCATCTACTGCGATACCTCTGCCGGGAAACCTCGGCCGTATATCCCAGCCCCTCTACGGTTCGAAGTGTTCCAGTCCGTCCATGATCTGTCGCACCCGAGGACCAAAGCAACGGCAAAACTGGTCGTACAGCGTTTCGTGTGGCCAGGCGTGCAGAAGGATTGCCGCACCTGGGCACGTGCTTGTCAATCCTGTCAGCGCTCCAAAGTCTCCCGCCACACAGTAACTCCATTGGGCGACTTTACACCACCGGCAGCCAGATTTCTTCACGTCCACAGAGACCTTGTTGGACCCCTTCCGACGTCAGGAGGCTACACATACTGCCTCACTGCAGTAGACCGTTTCACCCGTTGGCCAGAAGCCATCCCCATCCCGGACATCACAGCCGACACAGTGGCACGAGCCCTACTGACCGGCTGGATATCCCGCTTCGGTTGCCCACAGAGCATCACCACCGACCAGGGACCCCAGTTTGAATCTCACCTCTTCCACTCCCTGGCCAAGCTCTGTGGCATTCAACTCTCGCGAACAACTGCTCACCACCCAGCGGCTAATGGACTCGTGGAACATTTCCACCGAACACTGAAGGCAGCAATCATGTGCCACGCAGACCAACACTGGACAGAAGCCCTACCCCTGGTCCTCCTCGGAATCCGCACGGCATTCAAAGAGGGCCTGCAGGGATCAGTAGCTGAGCTCGTGTACGGCGAGCCACTAAGTATACTAGGAGAGCTGCTAACTCCGACTGCCGACCCAGTTGATCCAGCGCACCTCATCACCCAACTTCGCCAATATATGGCCCGCCTCAGACCAATTCCAGCAACACGCCACGCCTCCCCGGCTACATTCGTGCACAGCGACCTCGAGAAATGCACGCACGTCTTCCTCCGGCAGGACACGACTAGTAGATCGTTGAAGCCCCCCTACAGCGGCCCCTACCAGGTCCTATCATGGAAGGAGAAGACAATGCAAATCCTCGTGCGCGGCAGGCTCGCCATCGTGTCACCCGATACGGTCAAACCTGCCAACATGTTAATGAGACAGGCCGTGGGACCACCACCAAAAACTTCAACCCCGCAGCCGACGAAACCCCAACCGCGGTCCCGCATACCGTACCACCACAGCCTGCACAACGAACTGCACGCTTCGGACGTCATGTACATTATCCTGATCGCTTCAACAGCCGCGCAACGATCTCCGCGGTGGGTGATGTGGGAACCGCCCACATTCAAGCAAGTGTGACAACGCAAGTTTCATTGCTTAACAACGACGAGTAAACAGCGGTTGCTAAGCAAAGCCTACAACAATACGGACAGTGACACGTTTTCTATATGTCCGACTCTAGGTTACATAAGAAGATACATTTAGTGGAAGTTACAGTTATAGTTCTAGATTTCTACAGTTCTACAATTCTAGTTCGGTGTTCAAGGAGTTCACTATTATTATTCTTCAATTCTTCAAACTCAAGTTCGTCTGTGTATACTGTGCAATTGTAATAAATATATAGAACGGTCAACAAGTGGTTGTCTCTTCATATAATGACATCCGACACAACAAACGCGTTTCCCCGGAAATGGACAACAGATGGTTCGTTGCGTTGCAGCGGGAAAGCCGAACTGTTGAGAACGGTGTTCTCTATTGAGTCCGAATCCCGCCTATATAGAGATGCTGAGCGACCAGATCCTGGCTCAGGGTTTCCATCCCGATCACCTACTCCCAGGAAGCAGCTGTTACGACAGTCAGCACTTTTTGACATGAACCCACTGCAGCACACTGGTGAGGAAGAGCCTGGTGACAGCTCGTCAGACATTGAAGAAGTCACACGCTTGTATGGTGTGTATGACACCCCAGCCCTGAAGAGCTCAATTGAAAGTGGTCGTCACCAGCAGCAACAGTATTTCCATCAGCATTCAATACACACAGTGCCCAGTTCTCAATTCTATCAACAGCAACAAACTTTGCAGCCTGGATTATTTCGGAGTCAGAATTTTTATCAAAGTAAATGGCATTACCATTCCGTCAGAGATTCTACACCACTACCCAAACATTCTCATAACCATCTGCCTTTTCGCGGAGGACGCCACCTAAATGGAGTTCTGTTGCCTCTCTCCAGTGGACCTACACCAGTTCTTATTGCTCCTGACCGCTTTTTGTCACGTTCACATCTTGTACAAGTTACTCATGCACCGCCACAGCTTGTCTCTGGCTGTGAATGGGATAAGCTATCAGAAGGTATATGGAACAAATTCATGATACATCAGCAAACAGAAATTACGTATAGGAAGAAGATATTGCTCTGGAAATGCCTGTCAGATTTCATTCAGTCATCATTCCCGCGCTATGGGCTGTTCCTTGTGGGCTCCACCATGAGTGGATTTGGAAGTGATGCCAGTGATGTGGATATGTGCCTTCTTGTACGTCATACTGAAGTGGCTCAACGCAGTGAAGCTGTTATTCATCTGAAATATGTTCTGAAGCATTTGCGGCGCTGTAAGCACTTAACACGGCCAGAATTAATCCAAGCTAAAGTGCCTATCTTGAAATTCCGTGACACAAGCTTCTCTCTGGACGTAGACCTGAACTGCAACAATTCTGTGGGAATACGTAACACACATCTGCTCCACTGCTACTCGCAAATGGACTGGAGAGTGCGTCCTCTGGTACTCATTGTCAAGCTGTGGGCCCACAAACATGATATCAACAATGCCCAACATATGACAATATCGAGTTATTCATTGGTTCTTATGGTCATTCATTTCTTACAGTGTGGTGTTGCACCTCCAGTACTTCCATGCCTCCATGAAATGTATCAAGGTAAATTCACCCCACATTCAGATGTCCTGATGATAGACATGCATGAAGACTTGCAACCATTCAACTCAGACAATAACCAGGCACTGGGCGAGCTTCTGCATGACTTTCTGCGCTATTACGTAGAATTTGACTTCAGCCAGTATGCCATTTCTGTGCGGTTGGCATCCCGTGTACCAATAGAAGAATGTAGCGCTCTTGCATGCAGAAACTACCCCTATCAAAGGAAATACCTGTGCATTGAAGAGCCATTTGATCTCACAAATACAGCTCGATCAGTGTATAATCATGGTGTGTTTGAAAGGGTAAAGGCAGTGTTCCGAACTTCATACAACAACCTGAAGGAAACTCGCAACATTGAGAGTATATTCCACTTAGACAAAAATGATTAGATACATCCTTTTTGTTTGCCTTTGTCTGGAAGAGGAAAAGCCTACCTCAGTGGACAGGAAACCTGAGGTGGCCCAACAAGAAGAGGTCCCTAAAGAAGACGCCACAGTGATGCCGGTCAGAGGACCGAAGAAGAAACGGCGTACGGACCGAAACTCAGCTTCAGGGCTTCACGTACAGCCGGAAGAAAGAATCCGGAGATGTGGATCCCGGAGAAAGAAGTTCGCTGTAGCTCGCATGGAGGCGACATGGGAGAAGTGTGCATCCTAAAATAAATTGGCCTTCGCCCGCAGAGGGATAACCCACCGTGCGAAAATGTCATGGAAAACGAAGGAAACCGACAGGAAGATGTCCCGTCGTGCAGCAGTGGAACGACGCAGGAGAGACATCATCGGGACGAGCACGACCCAGGAAAAGTGTCACCCACGGAAGGAACTGGTCACTGCTAGAATTAGGACGATCACTGTGCAAAGAAAACGCCGTCGGGAAAGCTCGTGCCAGGAACAATGTGGTACGAGGAGCCCCGAAAGGACTGAAAGAAGTGCAAAAGCGAAGTACTACAATAAATATTCGCTACATCCATGACCGGCGTGAAGTTATTTGTCTCGTCACACAGCGAACACGTGACAGTATGTATGATATACATCATATGTGATATATCATATACAGAATCATATACGTTTTTGACAACTTTACAAACTGTGGATTTTACACTTTACAACACCAATTATGAAATGTTTTAGGACATTTCAATTGTATTGCTCAACTATGGATCCATTTTAAACGACACATTCAGCAAGAGCGTAATACTCGTATATTTGTGATTTTACATGTATACACCTGAAGATTGTTAGCCAAGATCGAAACAAGCAGTGTTTTAATTTGACATAATAAACATATTGACCCAACGGTAAATCAAATGCTATTATATGTTATTATATAACAGCCAAAATATCACGTGTTATGCTGGGACATTACAGAAACATTGATTGTATCTTCACAACAGGATGCAAAGCATAAAAACTTTACGAACTCCTTTTCTTATAGGTGTAATTCCAATTTCACACGAAATCTAGTTGAAGTTGATGTTTCTCACAGCCTATTTGTTGCATACAACATGTATAGACCTTTCATATAATAAAATATAAAATCTAAAACTTTTATTTTAGTCATTTTACGATATGATGAATACGGTGCTATCGTATGAGAGCTTCCAGCCTGTCGAGCCGTGTGCGTCGGACTCTTCTGCCTCAGAGCCTGGATCGACTTGCGGCAAGCCCTCATACGGTAGAGCTGTAGTTACTATAGGTATAGCCTGATGTAACATTAACATGTCAACGTTTTGCCGACATTGTCTCTCTCTTGCGATTCTTGGAATAAACGACGATTATTTCCTTGAATAACACCATCGGCTGATCTTTGTACTGGAGACAATTTCTTTTCAGTTCCAGAAGTGAATTTTTAAATGTTCTTCAGATTCGTTTCAGGCTTGGAAGCATTAATGACATATAGAGAAATTAGTATATTGTTTTATGCGGTGTGGTATCTTTGGTGTAATGAACTTCGTTTATGTCTATACTCCACGAAGTTGCGTCACAACCAGTTAGTGACGTAGACCGTTACGTCAGGATTAGAAAGTTACTATATACTGTTCGATTTTCCGGCATTCATACGTCGGTGGGAAATTCGAACGTACATACACATAACTTTCTTTCCGTGAGGTTGCTTACGTTCCGCGAACATTGGAAAGTTACTAGATCCTGTTTCCCGGCATTCATACGTCGGTGGGAAGTTCAGACATATTTACACAGAACTTATTTTTGTTCCATAAGGTTGCCTGTACAAGATATACCTTGGTTCGTAGATTAGATGGACTTTACCTGCAATAAGTCAACAACACCCGTGTGATAAAGTAGAAAAGGAGCGTATTTAGAAATGCGTGTACGCCATATTCACGCGGAAAGATAAGTGGTTATCGTTCTACAAAGTTTCAGAATTCCGCATTCATTTACTGAACTTGTTTACCTTTCTAGAAATGCGATTGTCGCCATGTTAGATTTGCTGAAGCATGAAAGTAATGCTCACTGAAGAATTAAGGTATTGTGACGTGTTATAGTACGTCCATCGCTGAGCAACGGCTAGAATGGGAACACATACTTCCGCGACAACGAATACGTGGGAATCCTTGAGTTCCCACAGCGACAAATTGAATACCAACAGACCGTTGCGTAGGAAGAACCGTGGCAACGATTTATTGAAACAGCGGAATAATGCATTTCCTAAGCAACGGATTGTTGAACTTCGGCGGTAGCGAGCATAGAGCACGTGAAACCGAACTGTTGAAGACGTGTTCAGTAAGCAGTTCGAAGAACGCATCCGTCAGTCGCAGTGTGACTTTGACTTCGTCATACCTCCACCGTGAACCTGCGAGTTGTAGGAGGCGACGAAAATGAAGTTTCAAATCTGAGACAGTAAAATATGGTCACTGGCAAGAACCAGCAGCATATACAAAAGACAGACCCGTCCTCTCGTCAGAGAAGGCGTCCCAGAAGAGCAAGACCGTAACTGTCAAACAGTAACAAATATCTGGTCATGAGCCCCAGGAAGGGGCTCGACACCAAGACTTACTGACTGACTAGCCGTCAGTCGCAATGTGACTTCGACTTCGGATTCGACCAACCCACGTGTGGAGGCGGGGTAGAATACCTCCACCGCTACCCTGCGACTCGTAGGAGGCGACGAAAAGGGAAGTCTGAAATCTGAGACAGTAAAATATGGTCGCTAGTTTCAAGGGGCTTGGACCCGAGAAAGACTGCGCTGGCAAGGGCCAGCAGCATATATAGAAGACAGACCCGCCCTCTCGTGAGAGAGGGCGCCCCACAAAAGCAAGACCGTAAATGTCAAACAGTAATAAATATCTGGTCATAACTCCAAGATGGGGCTCGACACCAAGACTTACTGACTGACTGACTGACTGACTGACTGACTGACTGACTGACTGACCGACCGACCGTCGGTCGCAATGTGACTTCCACTTCATCGAGCACAGTATAATTCTAGCCGTCGTCGAGTACACTTGAAATATAGCCGCCGCAGAAGCCAAGGTTGGAAGACAGAGTCTAGCATTCGCCGAATTCGTTGGATCACATGAGCGGAAGCGCAGAAGCAATCCGAGACCCACGTGATGTTATTTGTCGCGTTCCATAGGCAACACGCGACAGTGTATTGCCTGTATTATCCGAGCGGTTTGGTTCGAACCTCGGCCGGGACACATCTATCCTGAGGTGTTTTAATAGCTTTCCTCGGTCCCTGCAGACAAATAACGAGGTAGTATCTTGATTAAACCACCACCTCTTAACTCCAAATCTCTGCAGATTCATCACACATCAATCCTATCCTTCGACACTATAGTATAGTACAGATACTAACACCCTGGTAAAGCAGACCGTTAAAGAATCGTGTGGTCATTTGGAGGGTGTAGGGTCAGAATTTCCTTTGTGCGATATTGTTGCGTAGGGTTTCAGTATGTTTAAAATTGATTCCAAGGTAGGGGTTGTGGCAACCATTTCCGGCCGAAAGTCGCTAATGTCAGTTTACGGGAACTGAAACCTCTGTAATGGAAAGAAGATTGAATAAAACGTAAGAAAATGATGCACTATAAAATCGCGCAGGCGCGTTTGTTTGTGTGCTAGACAAGTAATTACGTAACATGCAGAATTACATGTTTCTTTGTGTCTAGGTAAGGCCAATGCTAAAAGACCTTGGTGTGGGACAGAATACAGTGTCGCCACGGAAATCATGTTACTTCAAGTTCTGGTTTTTATTAAATCAATTTTCCATATACGTGTAATGTAACTGAACGAAGAGATTCCGAAATGAAGGGTTCCTTGTTTATCCTCCAGTCCTTTAAAATGTTTCAGATCTGTTTAGTATAGTCTTCATTGGCCTGTTTGATTGCCTCCACGAACATCTGTATATGCGCGCATACGCCACGTGAGGGTTAATATTTTGAAGGACAAGCTGGAGCACAGATAGGAGGGGCTGAAATCCATTCACAGTTTTAATGGAAAATCTGAAAGAAAGAAACACCTAGAAATGCCCAGGCATAGGTGGGAATTTAGTACTAAGACAGGTCTCGAAGGACTAGTAGTGAGGTTGTGGACTGGAGTCATCTGCCATTGGCGGCCTTTTTTTTTTAATGCGGTAATGAACATCAGGGTATCATAAAAGGCGAGGAATTTATTGACTAGCTTCCTCTCAAGAATGGCTATGTTTTGTGGAGTTAGGGTTAATATTTTGTTTACGACATTTTTCTGCATGTGTTGGAAAATTTTTGAAATGATTTGAGGTTGGAAGTTTGATTATAGTTCTTTTTTTGTGTATAATACAAATTTTCCGACGTGGAGGAGGCATTTGTTTCAGGTACTTCGAAAAGCGGTAAATAGGCCCATATTTTATTGTTACCCACCCACATTTATATTTACGGCACTGTTTATGCAAACCAAAGACCCTGCACAAACCTTCATGTTGATATATAGTTTGTGATAAGATTGAAGGTTGAAAAAACTTTCATTAAGCTTTAACACATTACAGAAGTTCTGTGATGAAGACAGAACCGTGTTCGAAAAGTTAATGTTTTATTACAAGCAAGAAATGTAGACATGTTTCTTCGGTGCGTCGTGTAACTACGCAGTACAACGACCTAGGTCGCTAGGTCAGTTATGACACGTAAGAGCGATTTGATATGTCCACTTCTGCGTTTAAACTGAATAAATTTTGATGAGAGTGAGTTACGGTTATCAGTGAGCAGTCTAATAAATTTCACCCATGGCCATGAAAGCGTGAGTTTCGTTTACAAAGAAATTACATTTCTTTTGATACGTTGCAGGGATTCTCACCTTATGCCTCTTTACAGGGATTATCGTTGCAGTTCTTGGCCTTCAAAGCCAAATAGTCTGTAGCTACTTACAGAGCCGTTAAGCAGCAAATAAATAGATATATGGTCTGTTTGATCTTTTAACTCGTCAGCCACTGGAGAATGATTCTATTAACTGCGTCAGTTTGTAAGTGGTTAAGCAGTAAATGCATGCGTCAAATAACAGATTGTATGTCTTGTGTCCACTCTGGAATAACCTGCGACAGTTACGGGGGACAGTGCAAGGATAGTCAGATCGGTAGGCAGATTCACAATAAAGCATTTTACTCCCATTTTTAAGTACCTATAAAAGGTAAAGTCCCTGTGCTTAATTAAATAAGCACTACGCCATGAAAACATGGAGGAGTGGAGGTATAGCTCCACCATTCTTGACCTCGGCACTAGATGGAGGTTTGTTTTCAAGTATTACTGCCAACTTTAGTGGGTAGAGGGTGTTGCATGGTCAGGCAACGGATACCCATGACCGTTAATCTCGGTTTAATAGACCGGAGCTGCTGTTTCCTTGAAATAGCTCGTTTATTCAAGTGCCTGTGCTAGTAAAAATGTAGGCATGTGTTCTGGTCCTTAGGTTGCCGCAGCTGGAGATTTGTTTGTAATAACCAGGTGGTCGATGAAACATTTTTCGTCTCCACTTTTCGCCAACTTCGTGGTCGCTCCTATTGGTTAGCCTCTCGCTTCTCTGTCCATCCACCCAGCGGCTTCACCTCAACACAGTGCCTAATGCGATAGCTATATATGAGTTGCCAAATTCCTCCCGAAGTCATTAACTCTGAAGATGGCATCTGTACCGAAACTTCGGAAAACCTTGAACATTCGACGCGGCTTAGTCCCGAAAGCCAAGACTACATTTACATGTCAGTACGTTTATATTTTAAGGGACGTATCGTATTTAAAAATCTTACAAATGCATATTTATACCTATTTTTAAACATTATTGTTGTGAGCGGTAACTTCTTACGTACGAGGAGGTACCCAAAAGAAACCGAACTTATTTTTTTAAAACTTATTTATTGAAATTTTAAGCACAAACCTTCAATCCCCTTCAAAGTACTCTCCACTTAACACTAATACACTTGTCTAGTCTTTTATTCCATTTTTCAAAACATTGTCTAAATTCATCTTTTGAGATACTTGACAGCGCCTCCGTCGTTTTT